CGAGCCGAATTGAATGACAGATCTACAATGTCCAACTAAAACTTGTCCATCCATCCAGTTCATCAAGTAGTACCATGATCAGACCCTATTTTGATGAGTTTAATAGCCAATGAAACTTTTTGACCTAGAATTATGGGGAGATCAATTAAGGGAGATTTTGAGTAAAAAGAGGGGATTATGACCTTGCTTATTTATTAATGATAAATATATTTTAAGATAAAAATTCAGATGTTGGTAGCATGAGCCTAAGAGTAAAATGGATGGGGCCATCAAATATTGAATCGTAGTCTAATCCTATGATAGTCCTCTCTAATAAGAGTGATCATCTTACTAGTAAGATCTCCTTTTCGTGCAATGAGTGAATTGTTAAAAATAATACAAGGGCTTAAACGTACGTAGATAGTTTAGTTAATCTTATGGTTTCTAATTAGTTAACCTTAGAATTTTTAAGCCCTTGTATGGTTTCTAATTAGTTAACCTTAATCTTATGGCTTGACCTCGCTTAAACGGTTGTTAGTTAACCTTATGGTTTCTAATTTAACTAATTATCTTAAATGTTATAAAAAAATAAAATTAAATGTGATGAATTTGGGAAGGTTTTTTATTCATGTTATAAAAATATATATAATTTGGAGATTTTAGAGAGCCTTTGGAGAGGAGATTATAGAAGGAGGTTAAGGTTTATAGAGAGATTTTTTCTCCTCTCAGATTTCCTTTTCCTATTTTTTTGAGAGAGATTTGTAAGAGAATTTAGAAGTTGTTCTTATAAGAGATGAGATCAAAAGGGCTGTAAGTTATTTTTATCTCAATAAAAATATTTCTTGTAGATTTTATTTTAAGAAAATTGTCTTCACTTTTCTCTTGAGTCATGAGTAGCTAAACATTTTTTCGTGCCACAATGATTTTTGGGGTGGATTTCTTGGAATGATATTTATTCCTGATTTTTCATATCATTTTATGCGCTTTAATTTGTTAAACTTTGTTGTTTAATATTCTGGACTTTTTTTACTCCTAACTTGGCCATTTAGGACATTAAAATCCATCGTGATCTATGACTTCGACAGAAGCGTGGTATAACAATCAAGTTAACCATTCTTATTTTAATTGGATCTTGCAATAAGTTAAAGGAATTTGAATTTATTGGGGTGTCATAAAGATAGGTGGAACATATTTTTGTGGAATTCCAAATCTTTTTGGGACCTAGGCATCAGTTTAAGAAGAACTTCATGTCCACGAAAGAGAAGTTTGAAATAGGAAAGATAGATACATAATCTCACCAAAGAAAGACAACACTGGAATCCAACAAACACCAAACAACAAGAGAGAAAATTCTCACTCAAATATCTCATTCAAAATAATTACATGTCAGCCCTATTTATAGAGATCACAATGATAAAAATTTAATAAAAGGACGAGAAAATGTTGAAGGGTGGTAGTTGGCCATAGTGGAGGAAGGTGTTAACCAACTTTCTAATTTATTACTTTTTATGACCAACCATAAAAGCCTCCAAGATTGAAAATTCAAAAATTTTAAAAACTAAAATTGGAATATAAATAATAAAACATAAATTCAAATATTTCTTCTTGACAGGGCGATTGTAACAATTCTTGAATATGCCCTTAATTGGGCACTTTCTTGGGCTCTTATAAATGGACTTTTGGCTTCATTTAGTTGGTGTGCTACATCACTTATTTAATTGTCCCTTGCATCATTGGAAGATAGCTACAAAAATACTAAGAACACATTATGCTTTTTTCCTTCATTTGAGTTAAATTCTCATGTTTGTGCCTTTTGCTAAAATGATTGACTTCCCAACAACAAGGTTTCAATTCTCTATGCTAAAATGTATATTTGTGAAGGGTAAGAAAGAAAGCAATCTAAAGAAAGAAGTAATAAAATAAAATTTCTATAGGAATTTACCCATATTTCTCAAAAGGTGCTTCCTTATATTGCTCTTATTCTTGCTCATTATAGAAATCCAACTCATGATAAGATAGGTACCTATCAAAGTGGTTCTAGTTATAAATCTATTATTGGCTAAATTCAAGGGGATAAGTGACTATGTCGATTTCTTCACTGATAGGGCAAGAATCAAGGGTTTAAAGAAGTGATTTTTTAGAACCCTAATTATTCTTAACTATTTTCACATTTCAGTTTTTGTTCGATGAGCTCATGGGAGATGACCATATGGTAAATTAGCTTAATGTGGGCGAGTTTAATCTGAATGCCAATCTATCATGTGGTATTACAATTTTTTTCCTTATGTTGAGATGAAGTTGTTGTACTTATAAGTGTGGGCATGAACTTGCTTATTGTTGGCACTTTAGTTTTGAATTTTTCTTATTCTATCTAATAGTTTAAAATTCTACAACATTAGATATCACATTCTTTTTCAAGTGTCTTTCTAAAGGGACTTCCAGTTATAATTTCATTTGTGGTCTTTGCCTCATTGTGAGTAGGTTTGGGTGTCAATAATGTGAGGAGATATGAGAAACCCTTTATGGTGTTAACGGTACGCGAAATACTTTTTTGGATTTTTAAGGTAAGCTTCAATCTTCATAGGTGGTTCTTTCTTAAATTACTCCTTATTTTGGATAGCTTCCACTATCTAAACCATCAAGACTCTTAATAGAGTTTTTTCTGACAGTTCATGGTTGGGCAACAGATGCTTATTGCAGCGAACTGGTAGTTGGTCAGGATATCTAAGTTATCCTAATTGGTTGTATGTCTTGCAGTCCCCCTGTGGTCTAAGGTTGACTGATGATGTTCATATCATGGTATGGTAAAAAGGACGTGAGTCATCCCTCAGCCTCCACCTATTACCTTAAGGGGCCATCTTATTCAGGTAGCAGGTGGAATGCACTCTTTTGGAATATGTGAGGGTGGAGTTGTATTCCTTGGCCAAGATATGGTAGTTGGCCAACTCCAACAACTTGATTAATGTCTTCGGTCACTAGACGCCCAAGGCGTACCATAAAGGCACCTCTTTTATTTTTTGAGCTAGGGCGACATATGCCACTATGTGCTGCAGATCTCGCACTTTCAACATCTCCTTTTGGAAGTTGATGATAAAAGAGCAGAGACTCACATTTTACCCTTAATAGATCTGTAGAAGGCCCTAAAATTTCATCTGTGGCTTCTAAGCATTGGTAAACAATGCCACAAAGATCCTCTTGAAATTGACAAATGAGGCATTCACTCTCGGTGGTAAACCGTTGAGCCATATGAGGGCCGATTCCCTTAATTTGGAAAAAAAAATGATATTTAAGTTCACGAGTGATACTTAATAAGCATACAATTAACTCAAGCCAGACTATATGGTCGGTTGGATCATTCTAACCCTTATAGGATTCTTGTGCAAGAATTGTAAACTTCTATACGGCTCAACCTTTGAGATTTACTTAGAGAAGACATTCTATGACTGACAAGTTGTTTCAGTACACCCGAACTGATGCTTATTGATCGTGTCGACTCGACACTATCAAAGTACTGTGAATCTTCTTCTCTATCCAAGGTTAAGGGTGCCCTTCGGCCATTGGGTGTCGACCCCTCCTCTCGAGGATGTTGCTCCCTTGCATGAGACAATGCCTCTCTAATGACATCCAACATCTAATCATTCAATTCCTGAATTTGCTGATTCACGAACTCCTTGGTGCAATCCATATTACCAGTGCCTCTGTTGTGGGCTTCTACTCCATATGTTGCTCCTCTTCATGTCTATGACATGATCCACGCTCATTGCACCTTTTAGATAGCTCAATCTTGATTTGTCAATGAATCACACCTTAAGTGTTAAGAGTATAAGAAAGGAGAGAGAGAAAATAATAGTAAATGAATATTAGAACTTCTTGTCCATTAGCCTATTTTATAAAATCTTCTTATTTATAGGGGAGATGATACAATATGTGATATTATATTTCTGCCCCTACTTTAATGGGGTTGTTATATGATATTTTAAGTATTTTACGTATCTGAGTCTATTGCTTGGCTCAACTGCCCTATGACTTGATCTACTGGGCTAGCATGGCTTTAGCTCAGTAAGGTCGGTTCAATCAATTTGACTTAGTTGGTACAACAAGTCGGCAGGATTTGATTAGCTTCAGGTCAACAAGACTTGATCGGTCTGTTAGATTTTACTAATTGGTTGATCCTATCTGACTATTGACCCTCGTTTCCTTGATGATAAACTTCTGTTAGCAAAATAAGACTAAGTCATCGAGCATGCCAAAACTTGATAGATAGCTCATTCTTTGACGAGGAAGGTCATTGGAGATGATTGTAATGCTATGTTGCACTATCAAATCCTGGTCCCTGATGAGGAACCTCTGAGGCATCGGTGGAACACTTGATGACGACATGGAACTTGATTCTTTTATCGGGTTAGATCTACCAAGATCTAGGTTAAGGCCACCGCTTGGCATTAAGATAGTGATTAGTTTGAGTTCTTATCTGTTGGCTCAAGTTCGATCGGCACAGACTTAGCTCATTCTACTTGCCTTCTATTGGCTCAGATGGCTGCATACAAATCAGATGTGGGGTCTCTTGGCCTCTTCTCGACGGGCTTTTTTCTACTATATTTCATTGTTTTTGGGTTGTTAGTTCTTATCAATATTCGTGCAAATATATCCTTGATATTCAATTATTAACTTTTCAAAAGCAAAATTAACTTTTTATGCATAATTTTATAATACTTAAACTATTATAAATATAAATATCAAACATAAGATTTTGGATATGTAAGCACCTAAAAATCATGTGCCATGCATGTAAAAGTTTCCTAGATTATTTATTCGAGGGTCAATCATGGCTACCTTTACCGGAAGCCAATAGCCCATGCGGAGAAAAGATAACGGGACTGTAATTAAGCATCGAAGGAGCGGAAAGGGCCATTCCGTGGGGCCCATTTTACCTCCTCTAACGTTTGCATTTCACACCGGACCGGCGAAAGGAGGATTTGCTAGTGTTCGGAGTCTTCAGTGATTTGTCATTTGCGTAACACCGGACCGGCGAAAGGAGGATTTGCTCGTGTTCGGAGTCTTCAGTGATTTGTCATTTGCGTAACAGGCTAGTCCTTCTCCTCCATTATTTCATTCTTCTTTTTGATCAAAATTCCCTTCTTTTTTGTTATTTTGCTCTATAAGTTGTGCAAGAAGAAGAGTACCATCGGGCTAATTAACTTTCTAGCTAAAGCAACAAGATCTGGGGCTTTCTGCATTCTTTTTTATGTGTATGTAAGTGAGTAATCTTGTATTGCTTGAGTAATGAAGTGTGTTGTTCTTGTTTCTGGGTGCATGCGCAAGAAAATTTTTGTTTTGAGGGTCCTCTAGGTTTAAGATTTCTTTGTTTCTTTTTTTGCCATCCTGAAAGGTTCATTTTGAAGTAGTGTATATACGGAATAGGATTGTCTGAACAACCGGAAACTCACCTTGTGCTAGTGTTTTATCCTTGTTGATTTCTTTGATAATGTGCAATTTAGATGGATTTACACCTGCCTTTTGTGTTTTTTATTCTCCTAATGCAATTATTTTGGAGTTGTTTTTCATTTGATAACGCACATAGCAATTTATAGATTATAAACTTGCTTGGAAGAGTTTTTAAGTGCTTACTTTTGTATTTGACAAAGCAGGGATGTTTAGTTTTGTATTATATGTGACTATGTAATGCTTTTCTCAAATTTAGGCTGTCCTCCTTGCCATTTCATAGTTTCACTACCGGCTAAGTGCTATTGAGTTTTGAAATTTAATGCCAAAATATTAATGCAGAAAATGCAAGATGTTGATAGGTTTATCTGTGTTTACATGCTTTATACAACTATATATGCGGCTCATCATGAAATCATTGATTTTAGCTTTACTCAAAATTTAAATTATTTTGAGACAAGTGGGCTGGACTCAAAATTCCAGTTTGGCTTTAATTGGATTTCAAAGCGACGTGAATTATTCGATTTAGTTAAAACAAATTTGAATTCATTTTGAAGTTTGGAGTGGTGAAGCTTGAAATTGAATCTGGTCAATTTCAAGTCTAGTGAAATTTTGAGTTAGTTCGAGATTTTCTAGCAGCAATAAATTATGTTTTGAGGCCTTTTCTGTTCTTTTGGATCATGCATTTCATGATATTTTTTAAACATATAGTTCATTTATTTTGCAGGATTCTGATATTTCCTTACATCAACGCTAATTAGCTTGCATGGTGTTTGATTTACAACTAATGAGTTGTTTCTCTTTCACTTTAAAATGGAAAAAGTCATCATGTTTGCTATTTGCCGGTGATGAAGGTCGGTAAATGATTATTTGGGAGCATTTTTACTTCCAAAATTTTAAATTTTACGGCTTATCGTTTATATTATGGAGTTTGAATTAACTTTCCATCATTTAATTATCTTATTGTTATTGTTCACATCTTAGAAATCCAAGTTTTTGCCAATGTGAAAATATACACTTACAAAGAAATGCGACAAGCAACGAATGACTTCAGCCCTGCTAATAAGGTTGGAGAGGGAGGTTTTGGTTGCGTATACAAGGTAATTTTTTGGATGCTTAAAGGCTGTTTTATTTGGGTACCTGTTCCAACCAAAGAGTTACAATTTTGTTTCACAGGGAAGGCTAAAAAACGGAGAAGTTGTTGCAATTAAAGTTCTCTCTTCTGTGCCTAAACATGGTGTTCAGTTTCTAAATGAGATTGCTATGATCTCCAATATTAGTCATGAGAATCTTGTTAGTCTATGTGGTTGCTGCATGGAAGGAGATCGGAGAATTTTGGTTTACAACTACCTTGAGAACAACAGCATTGCAAAGATGCTTTTTGGTAAGCCTTAGCTTTTGGCTTGACTTTTTTTTATGACACACCTACAGTTTTTGGTGGCTTATTTGTTTCTAATCTTAGGTGGGAGTGATAGTAAAGTTAAATTCAATTGGAAAACACGAACAAAAATTTGTGTCGGTGTTGCACGTGGACTTGCTTTTCTTCATGAGGAGGTCCGTCCTCCTATTGTGCATCGAGATATCAAAGCCAGCAATATTCTTTTAGATAAAGATTTGAATCCCAAGATTTCAGATTTTGGTTTAGCGAAACTTCTTCCTTCAAATTTGAGCTATGTCAGCACTCGGGTAGCTGGAACAATGTGAGTTGGTTCGGTTAGCCTCTCACTTTTTTGCCAAACCACATATGAACTTTCATACTCAGTTTCCTTCTTATTTAGACCAGAACTCCTTTTGTGAATTACGAAAGAGAAGTAAGATGGATGCTATTCTTGCTGAGATGTTTTGCCAAATAACTTTTCACTGAATGAGTTGGCATATGCTTAAGTGTACTTCAAAGCAGTTACTATAAGGATGCATTCTGTAATTAACTGCACGCCACCACAGTCTATGACTTTTCAATAAATCTGTTTGTAAAATTATCCATTCTTTAGGATGAATTTTTAACAGATTCAGTAGTATAGTTCTAATGCAAGAAGAGGATAGAGGAGAGCTCACTATATTCTTATCAATCTTCTATCACTATCATGACGGATTATGATCATAACACACTCTTGGTAGCATGCTTTAAATTTGAACCTTTACGCTTGACTTTTCATTAACGTTACATCATGTGTATTATTTGTACAAGTAAATGTTTAATAATGTGCATCCACTAACTGGTTATTTCTTTTAAATAGAGGTTACTTGGCACCAGAGTATGCAATTTTTGGGAAATTGACAAGGAAGGCTGACATTTATAGCTATGGTGTTCTTCTGCTGGAGATAATTAGTGGAAAACTAAACACAAATACAAATTTACCATATGAAGATCAATTTCTTCTTGAAAGAGTAAGAATAGTTCTGTTCTTTGCAGACACACATGAGGTTCATTTATCAACTAGATTTTGTGAAACGATTTTTTTTTATTTTGTTCTTTTATACTCTACAAAACTTCTATATTCATAATGTATTTAGGTAGCTCTGGGAATACTTACCATAGTTTAATTTCTTGAACATGATTAATTTTGGATGCATTAGTTGATTTAATAATGCCATCTAGGAATCAATAAGAATGAATTTTACATTTCCTTTCTCTCAGTTCTTAAATGTGAAGGGTCTTAACTAAAAATAAATTTTATGATTGGTTTGATTCCTGGCAAACCGAATGAAATGTTGTGACTAGTCTTGGTTCGCAATGAACTGGTTAGGCTTATCAAATTCTAGTTAAGAAAATATCATGTATAGCTCATTTCATGATGTTATGTTGAACTTGAACTTAATATGCTTGAAAAAAAATAGCTTAAAATGATGATTCCATAGCGTTTCGTGGGCTCCAAAAATTCGAAAAGGCCTCGGCCTCCCTCGAAAAGGAAGATAAGTGAGTGCGGGAGTTTTACCGTGAGGTTCCGTGTTGAATTTTCATAAGGTAGATGAGATATTAGATTAAGACACTACCCATAAACTTTGCCCTCATTTTGCGAGGGCTTTTGCTTTTAAGAGCTGGGGTTCGAGGTTTCCGATAGGCGTAAGTCCCTATGTTTAACCAACCCTCCCGATAATGAGAGAGCATTTTCAAGGCTAGTCATTAGGAATTTGATTGATCAACATATAGTAGCATCATATTTAAAATTTAAATTTTATGAAGTTATCACAATGAACTTAAAAGTGAATGGCGGGGAAGGGATGATGCTCTCGATCAAGATCCCATTGTTCCATCTTCCCGTGCTATCGTGAACTCTAATCTACTTAGTCTGAGGAGGTATTCAACCTAATTTGACAGAGAAGGATCCTTATTATGTCAAAGACAACCCTATAGGCCTGGGATGAATGTTGAGGGAATTCTGTTCTATCAAATATACCCTATGATTTATCACTCAAAATGATAGAATTTTATTGCAAAACATATAGGCTACAGTCGCGGCCGTAGTATAATAGTGTCATTTGGTGACAAAACACCTGATCATAAGGATTTGGTCGTAATTGATTATTATGATGCCATTTGGCTTCAAATTGAGCGAACAGAGGACTCGAGCCGTGTCATTACTTATAGAAGTTATTTTGAGTTTGAATTTAGTAATATATTTGATTTGAGATTGACTCTATGTGAGCTTAGGTTAACACTAGATTTGTCCACCTCGACAAACAACTGTTTAGGGCGGATGACTTTTGCTCTTAAATTTTTAGGATAGAATTTTCATTTAAATATTTTTGAATCTTTATGAATTTAATATTTATGATTTGTGAATTTGAAAATATCCTGAAAATAGGTCTCCTTTGGGTAAGATTTCCATTCGACACAATCATCATCGGGGTATTTAAAATATTCTTAAAATATGTTTGCATTTAATTGAGCTTCTCATTTAAGCAATAAAAAAGGGGTAGTCTTGTCAGATGCAATCCCAATTAGGATGGGGATCAGACTGGCTTAGCGGGAGCTCAGTCCTGTCCACTCCAGTCCACTTAGGGAAAGGGATTGGAGTAAGGTGTGGGGCTTACGACCATTCTCTGTAGGGAAGGCAACCCATTTGAGAAGGTTTATGATTTAATTGTTTTTGATTTAGCTTTTAGAAATAGGATTTTTGTAACGTCTTAAAACTCATGGACATTTCTCAAGGTGGGGCATTTAAAATTCAATTCAACTTAGCTCGCACAACATTCTTGGACTATGTGATCAAGCATTTAATACGATAGTTGGAGCACATGCGAGCATGTCTGGATTTTGTGCACATTTCAAAATATCTTCATTTATTATTTGCAAATATGTATTATTAGTGGAAAGCGTTCAAATATTTCAGCTTAAGCTCTAAACTTCGCCTTTTGTCCACTTGTACATGTGTGTTGTGGATCCAGTGGAAATTGTGCAAAATTTCATTTTTGGATTTTGAAAAGAATTGTCGTCTGTTTGTTAACAAATGAATTGCAAATTTGGTGGCGATCGGAAAAATATAACTATGATTGTGCATCTTAAAAGTTGTATTATTTAACTCTCATTTGAGTGTTCTGATAGACCCTCTGCATGTAAAAATAATGCATGATTCTAATGATTGCGATTAGTTGATGGAATTTCTCATTTGCATTATAGGTAAGCCATTGTGTTCAACACATGTTTCATTCGAGCTCGTTGCCAAGTCATAGAGTGCCTTGAGCATGCAAGATTTCATGTTGGGTCCTAAAATTCGCATTCTGTCTGCTATTACACAAGTGATTCATATCCGGTGTCGAGTTAAAGAAAATACAATTTTGATCGTGCATCTTAAAAAATTATATTTCACTCACACTTATTTAAGTGCATCTTAAAAGATTTATAATTTCACCCAACATTTAGACATAATTTCGGTAGTATTTTGATAGCTTACTAGTGTCATCCCCGCGAGGGGGCGACATCGGGAAAGCTGGGCTTGCCTATCACGTTAAGAAAAACATGTATGGGTGGTGTAAACACCACGACCTAGCCTTCATCACTTACCACACTATGAAGACTCTCTATTGGTTGACAATCAATAGATTCACTATTATGAGTTTTCCTCTTAAGCATCTATTCCTAACAAATTTTATCATTGAAGGACCTCCTAGAGTGTTAACCAGATGTCATGCTTTTTTATTCTTTTAAAATTTCCCTTTTTTTAAAAAAAATATTTTTCTTCATATTGCTTTGGCCTCCATATTTGCTCACCCTTTCGCTAAGACCTTTTCGGTGGCAATTTCTTGGACACGTGGTCCAGGTGTCACACCTCGATGTTCAATGAGCATGACTTACCTGGATTGATATTGGGCTATCACAATAGATGACTGTCTCTTAGCAGACTCCTTGTTATCCCCGATCATAAATAGTCTTTCACATTTTCTCTTCATAAGTCTTTTCTCCTTAGCAGCAACCCTTAGAGCTCTGTATAGTCGATATGGTGTCACGTCTTTTCTTCACCTCAACAGGAGTTTGAGGTTGTTCATACTAAGAGGATTATTTTATTTAATCGGTAGAGCTAATCCTCTTGACTAGTTTTAAATTATCAATTGTTATGGATAGAAATACTTGCTTCTGATTAAGGGGATTCGAGTGGCAGGTTACTCCAACTGCAACTGCTAGGCCATTCTTTCCATTTTTTTTTTCTTTCTGTATCTTTTAGTTAACTTTCCTCCAAATCAGCTAGCATATACATCATGCCTTCTTGGTGCATAAAAATTTTGATAGATAGAGTGGCAGATTTGAAAACTAGCAATATGGAGCCTTTCTTTCCAGCAACAGTCATTTTCATGGCCGAGACTTCAGGAGCCAAACTTTCAAATACAGAGACCCTTTTTTAAAGAACCTTGCCAGCAATAGTTTTGATAACTTTTGATCCTTATTGGGGCTGGTGCATACAACATGCAGGCATAGCGGAATGAAGCCTCGTAGGATACTTCGAACACACATGGCACAGATAGGCACGACAACAAACTTTCATACTAAGATTCATGTGTTTTACTCTTATGCTCAAAAGCTAGAGTTTATTTGTCTATAGGGATCTATTCTTTGGCAGATTCTCGGAATGAGATAAACGGGTCATGCCGTAATGATTACTAGATACAACTGTGTCAAATTTATGAGTAATTTATAATAAATGAAAGTAATTTAACTTTTTATTATCATTTATTTTTTTTAGGGACTATTATAGTAATTATATAACTATCCAAATATGTAAATAGAAAGTTTCCTAGCAGAGTAGTTGGAATGCGACGGAGCGCAATAGATTTTTTTATCTTTTTTTAAGCTGCTACTATAATAAAATGATGACTAGCCAAAGATGGAAAGAGAAACCTTCCTCAGGGGAGTAGCCAGAATTTTGTGAACTTTGAAAATTTGAAAAGGCTCCAACCTCCCTTTAAAAAAAAAGATGAGTGAGATGAGGTAGGTTTACCATGAGATTTAGTGTTGAATTTTTAGAAAACATATAAGATAGTAGATTAGAAAATACCCATAGATTTTACCCTCATTTTACGAGAACTTTGAGATTTGGGGTTCAAGGTTTCCAATAGGTGCAAACCCCTATGGTCAATTACCCCTTCTAATAATGAGAGCTTATTCATTTAAGCATTCAAAAAAGGTTAGTCATTTCAACTACAATCACAATTAAGAGGGGGATCAGACTAGCTTAGTGGGAGTTTAGTCATGTCCACTTCATTTCACTTGAGAAAAGGGATCAGACTAAGGTGTGAGACTTACGACCTTGCCTTGTAGAATGACGATGCATTTGAGAAGGTGTGATTTAATATTTTTCAACTTGTCTTTTAGAAAGAGAAATTTTGTAAAACTTTAAAAAATAGAACATTTCTCAATTTGTGGTCTTTTAAAATTCAATTCAACTTAAGATCGTGCAACTTAAGGCGTGATTTTAATAGTTTTCATAAAACCCCCTATAAGATCGGGGCATTTTAAAATTATTTTATCAGTGAAATCATTTTAAGCCCTAAACTTTGCCTTCCATCCGCATGCATGTGTAGTGGGTCCGGTAGTGATCGTGTAGAACATCATTTTGAACTTTTAAAAAGAGTCGTCTGTTCTCTACCAATTGTATTGCGAATCTGATGGTGATCGTGAAAATATAACTTTGATTGTGCATCTTAAAATTTATATTTTACTTACAATTAACTCTCATTTGAGTCTTCATATAGACCCTAATGCCCCGTAATTGTAATGCATGATTCTAATGATTGTGCTTAGTCAATCAAATTTCTCGTTTCATTATAGGTGAGTCATTGTATTCATTACTGGTTACATTCAAGCTCCTTGACGAGTCGTCGATTCCTCTGGCTTGGAAGATTCTATATTGAGGTCCTAAATTTGTTTTATGTTTTCTATTACAGAAGTAGTG